ATGTGTGTACAAAGTTGGTTGAAGTACAAACAACAAGGTAATAAATAATTAAACTTTATTTATTCAATAAAAGTTGTTTTTTATTTTTATTTTTATCACTAATTCTAATTATTAATTTAAATTGTCTAATCATTCATTTTCTTGTCATGTAATTTCTATTGATATTCTAGGACCAAAACAATATATAGATTTGAAAGACAAACGTTTGCAAAAATATGGAGAAGTTGATTCTAATAATGAGTTCAAATATCTATATATTTATTTTTTTGAAAATATAGAATTTAATCTACAATTTTAATTTAACTAATTTTTGTATAATTTTTTACATGTCTTGGAAAATATTGTTAACACATGATCTTGATGTTGGAAGTTTAATTACAATTTTTATTATGATTATTTTTTAAAAAAAATTATTTACAAGAATTGATTGTTTTGTAATATTTATTTATAAGAATTTTTATGTTATATTTTTGTGATGTTGAAGACTTGACAAATTAATAATATGTTTATTTGTGTGAAATATTATTTCTTTATTAATTTCTTTACTTTATATATAAGTAAAATTCAGGTTGTAGGTTCATGTATGAGTACATAGATACCCAACGGGTACAAAAATAAAGATTAAAATTATTAGTCATGCGACAAGACTATATACAAATATTATTTTTAAACACGGAGTAGACATGGATAAAATTTCAAAAAAAATATATTTTATATGAATCAATATCTTAAAGAAATTAGAGATAAAAAAAAAATAAAAAAAATAAAAGAAAATATCCATTTATAATTTTATGTTAACACTTATAAAAATTCACCATTCAAACTAAGAAAGAAAAAAAATGTATCAGAAATTCCTCATTATATATAATATTACTGATTTATTTTACTAAAATTAATGGAAAATTTTTGTTGACTAATAAAAAATTGATTCTTAATTAATTATTTATAATTATTTTCTTTTCTTTTTTAATATTTTAATCATGTAAATTTTATAATACTATATAGACTAATAATATTTTATGAACATTCATATATCCAATTGGTGATGTAGTAGGTTCACAAGGTCTCAAATTTTGATAAAGAAAAATGACATTGGAAAAAATAATTTCAATGCAGTCAAAATTTTGAGGGAGCCTATTTTTTGATGATATCAATAAATATTTATGTGAATATTAAAAAAAAAGACTAATATCTGAAGCCGTTTCGACATTGATAGAGAATATTCGGTTTGACCAAGTACGGGTACGAGTAAAACTCGAAATATTAAATCGGGGACGGGTACATACTTACTCGCCCTATCCCCGATTTAATACCCATCATCGATTTGATTGTTTTAAAGAATTTTAATATTTAATTATGTGTGATTTTTTATTATGATGTGAAATATTTGTAGTTGTTAATGATTAAAAAGTCTCCTAATTAAAATATGAAATAGACAAACAACTCAATTATAATTATAATATAATGAAAAAATAAGCTAAAAATATTGTGTATGTTATGAATAATAATTAGTGGCTTAATTAGTGGATGCCAATAATCATTATCAATCATTACCATTTATATGTTCGTTATGTATTATTCTCTTTATTGTGTAATTGTTCAGTTACCACATATACTTCTAAATAGGTTACTCATCTCCCAAAGATAATACACCAAGATTCTTTTCTCCTTCTCTTATTATCTTGTTTTTCTTTTATAACACGTTATCAACATGATAGTCTTTCCGCTATTGGTGTTGCAACTATAAGACAAAGCTGTGAAGAATTTTCTTGAAGAAGGTCATATTTTTTAAGACAAATATTTCAAGGTTATCTATTCATTTTCCATAATAAGATTTTATCAAAAATTTGTATTGTTTACATTGTTATGAATCAAATACTCTTGAAGACATTATAGTAGTCCTAAAGACACTATTAAATAAAGAAATTTTTCATACATTTTTTATATTTGTCTAGAAG